AAATGTAATGAGTAGAAGTCAGAAGTAGGAGGAAAAATAAGTGATGGAGTAAAGTACAGTAACTTAAGTACAGTAACGAAGTATTTGTACTTTGTTGCTTGACACCTCTGCTTACTTTAAGAAAAAAGGAATTACTCAGATTAGTATTTTTTACAGTGAACTTACCTCAGCTGTGAAAACGCTCCAGCTTCAACCTCCTAATTCCTTCATTTACAGCTTTAGAAAAAAGGATAAAAGAAAAGTTTCTCTTTTCATAAAGAAGCAGCTGGAGAAGTTTTGGTAACGCTGAGGAGGAGAGTCACAATGCTGATCTTTCAGGGGGGGAGGAAAGCAAAAACAACAGAAATCTCAGAGCATGTGGCTTTAAAAAACACATTTACCCTGATTTTTATGCTCCTCAGAAGCAAACCTAGGATTCTAGAGGTCCTGAAAGCTAAAAACGAGGGAAGGATTTAAAGTGAGGAGAGAAAAAGCTTAAAGCTGCATGATGGTAAAAGTAGATATAAAGCGAGGAGTCATTCAGCAAACGGTTGTTCCCCAAGGCAACTGCAGCCGCCCCGCATATTTCCACACAGCTCAGCCTTGTGACTGAGGGAATCTTCTCTTTAATCCAGAGGTTTCCTCCAAAGACAAACAGGCCAACTTCTGGGAAACTGGAAATCAAATTAATACTTTATTCCAGTCAAAAAGAAAAATGTGTTTTTTTCAGCTAATGATGATGTCAGAGCTGCACTTAGTTTAAAACATGACTGGAGAGTCAGCAGCAGAGCAGCAGACTTTAAGTCTCACCTGGATATTTGTCAGTTGATGTCGGTTGGAGGTCGGAGGTGAGGACAGGTGGGAGGGGCCTGCTGTGATTTCCCTAAACAGACAGAGAAACAGCATCTGCCATTCAAATATCTGACCAAACCAAAGCCCGGCTGCAAGCTCTGCATTTACCTACATTTGAATATGATGCCAGAACAGATGCTGGGAAGTCACCTGGTTCCTCTCAACTCTAAACATCAGCTGAAGCAGTTTGACGCCCAAATCTTTCTGGGAAGAAAGCAGCTTCAACTCTGCATCTGGTCTCAGCAGAACGGGCAGTGATTAGCAAAAAAGACATTTACTGTAATTTTTTATTTTTACTTTATTGAGAAAAAAAACATTCATGTACATTTTTTTCATTCTTATAAAAAAGAGATTAACTTAACTTGTGCAAGGCAACAGAAATAAATAAACAAACAGGCGGTTTTATTACAACCATTGGAAACATACAAAACCAACCTCCTAAAGTATAACGACATAAAACATATGTAGGTTTTAAAATCAACAATTAAAAGAGAGGCTCATTCTGCAATAAAACAGTTCCTTGCATCACGTTAACTTTAGAATTTTTTCAAGTCAAAAAAACTGAAATTGTGACATCATGTCTCTACATAGTTTTTATTTATGTCCATATTTTTAGGCTAAAAGAGATAAAGATGAATAGAAAATTTTGAATTCATTTTTGAAACTTATTAATGAAGATTTTTGATTTTTCCATTTCCATACATGTATATGATATCTTCCCATACTCATTAAAATATTCACCATGTCAGATAAATGTCATTATTGTATGTTAATATTGGATTTATCTCAAAAGGTGTTAGATTATCTATTTCGTTACTTAACCAAATATGCAGGTTCTGCCAAAAATGACCTGTGACTCAACACGAATAGAAAACATGTTCAATATTTTCAGGCATCCACCTCAACTCCAAATCTTTTCTTAAGAGTTTCTGCTTTTGGATAATAACTATTCATCATTTTATTCTATATTGCTCTTCTTTTACTTTTGGTGGAATTGGCCATTTTAAATATTTTAAATATGTTCTATGTTTCCTGAATCATTAATTATTCGATTTTTTTTTTCCTAATTTCAGTAAAATTATGAAAGGATTTACATTTAAAGGCTGTCCCTATAAAATGATTGTTGGATTTTTTTTTATTTTTTTTTTATCTCTAATAGGCATTTGCTCAGTTTTTTAGTTCTGGCAAGACTCTGTGCACTACAAAAAATGTAAATCTCAATAAGTCATTTTTTTCTTAAATTAAGTGCATTTTTTCTTGAATTTAGGAGGTAAGTGAGACACTTTGCCAATGGAACAAGACAATTTACATTTAAAATAAGAAAAAAACTATTGCATTGTCTTATTTCAAGTGTATAATATCTATTTATCTTATTTTAAGAGTTAAAATACTAATTCCATTGGCAAATTATCTTATTTACCTACTCAAAGTAAGGGTAAATACACTTACTTTTAGACTTTTTTACTCATTTTTAGATCATTTTTGTAGTGTTTATATTTGACTGAGAAAGTGTGCTTCATAATAGATGCAGCAGAGCAGCAGATATTATTTTGCATACTTTGTTAAATTCTGTATATCAACAGTGGATTCCAAATGTTTCTTTAAATGTGACATTTACTGTAAACAGTCTGTGGATGAACTGGTTTCATTCTGACTGAGGCGCATCTTCTCCAGAGCAGAGAAACTCCGCCCTCTTGTGGAAAGAAGCTGTAAATGCAGCTTCTTAGAAAGGAGAAGCAGAAAAGATGCAAAGGTCACAAACAGGGGAAGTATTCTGATTTGCAAACCTATGATGGTTTGATAATCGCATAGAGATTATCATGAGTCATGCACTGGATTAAAACAGTCAACAGATCTTTAAAAAGCTTATTATTCCTGCTGATATTATTCCTTCTTCTCTGCTGCTGTTCTCCCTGATGAGAAAATTACATATTTTTTTCTTTTTATTAAATCCATTAACTGAAATATGCTAAAAATGATCTGAAAATATGTGAATTTTCTGAAAATAACTGTAGTTGTTCCTAATCTGAACAGGAAAATAAGATAATCTGTCAGTGCAATGAGAGTTCTTAACCTTAAAATAAGATTATGACATATTTTACACTTGAAATAAGATAATAGTTTTTTTTTTCATGTTAGTTAATCTGCAGATTGTCATATAAACCCAATAAAATTAAAGATTTTTAGGAATCCTTTGCTTTATATTAGTGGGTTTGAAATAGTTATTAAAGTGACACCAGTCTATGCGAACCACCCCCCTCCGTGTGCGCGCGCCACCTAGCAGGGCTGCTCCCATCTGGAGCTTCTGTTGTTTCCTTTGATGAACCGTTGGCTGTTTTCCTGGCGTCCATCTTTAAACTTTAGCCCCCCTCCCTGTGAGGTTGGATCCTGTCCTTCAGCTCCTCGGTAGCCCCCACCCCACGCGCTGCACCTGTCAGCTAGGTACGAGCCTCGCGCCAATCACGCGCCTCGGCAGTTTCTGTCCAAGATGGCGGCTTCCAGTGCGCCGCTCTGCCCATCCTCGCAGCGGAGCGACAGGTACGGCCTTGTTTGTGGGTCTCCCCGGGACTGAGCAGAGCCAGCTGAGCGGAAGCAGACCCCCCCACCGCCGCCTTCTTGTTTGATGGTACCGGAGCCGCTGAGGGGGGGCGATCCTGCCGACTATGGCCACCGACAACCGGATCCATTTCTGGAGGAGGAACGCCAAGGTTCCCGGAAGGTTGGTCCGCCTCTGGCTGCTGTCAGTGAAGCTGAAGCTTTTTCTTTGTTTCTCTTCTGAATGATGTGAGGAAGCAGCCGCCATGGCAGACATTACTAACTAGATTGACTTTGATGCGTTTAGAAGGAGCCGCCGCGGCGCTTCGGGCCTTTTGATGTGGCTGTGATGTCACGGAGAGGTCCGCGCGCCCCGCTGGCTGCCATCACTGGACGCTGCTGTCATCATCCACCCGCTGCTCCATGCTTCTGGGTCTGGATGAGAGCGGATGCAGCAGCTGGGGGGCCAGATCCTGGGGGCCAGATCCTGGATGCAGCACTGGGTGGCCAGATCCTGGGGGCCAGATCCTGGATGCAGCACCGGGGTGGGGGGGTCAGATCCTGGATGCAGCACCTGGGGGCCACATCCTGGATGCAGCACCTGGGGGGGCCACATCCTGGGGGCCAGACCTGGATGCGGCACTAGGGGGCCAGATCCTGGGTGCCAGATCCTTGATGCAGCACTGGGGGGCCAGATCCTGGGGGCCAGATCCTGGATGCAGCACTGGGGGTCCAGATCCTGGATGCAGCACTGGGGGGCCAGATCCTGGGGTCCAGATCCTGGATGCAGCACCAGGGGGGTCAGATCCTGGATGCAGCACCTGGGGGGCCAGATCCTCAGGGCCAGACCCGGATGCATTGCTAGGGGCCTCATCCAGATGAACAGTTTAGGTTTTATTTGTTTAAACCAGCAGGAAGTTTATCTGTGGGGAGTTTTTTTTCTTTTCCTGCTGCAGAAGCAAACTGGTGGATTTTAAGCAGCTTTCTGGATGAGCTGTTAGCAGCGTTCAGGTTAACCCAGGTTTTAGATTCAGTCAGTCAATCATTATATTTGTTTCCTTCAGAGCTTAGAGGAGACTTTCTAATATAAACTCTCCTGGTAGCTCTGGAGGATTTATATCTATAATCATTTTCATTCAGATTAAATTTGACTTGCTATAAACGGGCGTCTCCAAATCGATAACGATCTGTTCACATTTGAACGGAACCAGTTTGTCTTTGCTTGAAAGTTAAACTTTAAGGCTGTTGAATTCTTCCTGTCGTTATTTAGAAGCTGGGAATTATTTTAAGGTTTTCTATAAACTCTGATATTTGGCTCCCATCACAGATGATCCTCCTATAAGAAGAACTTTCCTTATGATGAATTAAAACACTGATTTAAATATAATTTAGTAATAATTAAAACAATCCCAGATGTTAATGGGAAAATAAAAAGTTTGCTTATAGACGGTAGAAAACATGATTTATTGTTTTCTGTCATCAATATTATACTTTATTCCTCTAAAAGTCGACCCCATTGAATTGTTTTAGCTGTATTAAGGATAACTGTTTGATTTATTTTGGTAATATTTGTGCACATGTGGTGAAACAGGTCTTTAAACTCCAGTTTGTGCGGTCAGGATGTCTGACTGGTTCCATCCAACCAGGAAAGAACTGCAAAGTGAACATGGCAGCTTTTCGCTTGGTGTTTGCATGCTTTGTTCCTTTTTTATTTGTCCGCTCAGGCTACAGATGCAATCTTCATAGGAATAACTTGAAGCCAGAAAAGTGAACTGGGACTGAGGATGTCCAGCATTACGGCCCCCCCTCACTTAGCTGGATGCACGGCAGTGGCCAATGGCTGCCGTATCTTCAGCCTGCGGGCTTCCAGCGTTTACCTGGAGATCAACCTGAATAAGACATGAGCTGTAGCTCTAAAGCAGCCTGGTCTGTCTGGGAAACCTGAGAGGAGTGGGCGTGGCCTTCTCTGCCACAGAAACGGCTGGAAACAGGCGGGTTTTTTCCGGCTCCCTGTCCTTCAGCCGCTGCTGATAAAACAGTGACGGTCGTAAACAAGAGATTCTGGCTCTGCCAGATAACCAGCAGCTCCAGTTCTCAGCTGCTAGGCTCAGTCTAAATGACGGCACGGCCGTTTTATTAGACCTGAAGTCTGATTTTTGTTTGATAGAATTTTTGTTGCTTCTAAAAGTAAAGGATGCTTCAGTTTTATGTCCTCTGAGGGACCAAAGTATGAGG